CACACTCACACACACACACACACACACACACGCACACACACACACACACACACACACATACGCCTTTCCCTGAGCTCTCCGACGATGATATTATGAATAAAATCCGCGTGCCGAGGAGACACGTTTAAGAACGTCATCGATTAAAGGTACTCAGTATTCCAGCCTACTCGGAACCGGCCATGAAGCCCACAATAACTTGCATCTGTTGGAAGCCTGTTCTGTACTGCATATACGCCTCCGACTCATTCACCCAGGTTATTTTCAGAAAAGCGTGACTTCCTAAACAAAAGGGTTCGGGCATTGTGAAAAAACGGGAGGGGGTGGGGGTTATAGCCCTAAATCAGTGTGCCAATATAAAATATACAGGAAGATGTAAAATTAGGTACACAATAAGTAGCATGTTTTTGCTATAAGACTTTATTTGTTAAAACTGTTTACTCAGTAAATATATTTTCAGTGTCAACAATCGTATCTGATCACAACTAACGTAACTAATTTAATGTGAAATGTCTCGCGGATTCATTCCTTCGCATGACACATCAAAATAAATACAAGCAAATATGCAATTAAATTACGTCCTTTTTTATTGATCCACGTCTGGCAATTTGGGTTACAATGACAAGCATACATACTTAAACACTTAGTCATAATACATACATACACAAATACATACACAAATGTATACATAAATATAGAATATCACACCAATACAAAAATTCTTTTTCACAAACTTGCGATTGCTGGTCGCCACTGCAGGGCCTTCTTTTTAGCTGGGGTAGCGGTGTCTTGCTCAAGAACACACCCCAGTGATCATCCTCTTAAACCCTGTGTCACCGACACTAATTGCTTGACGTTACTTTTGAGTCTGAACTCACTACTCACCTCAGTCTCTGGAGTCCCCAAAGGCTAACGGAGAAGAGGTACTTCAATGTAGCAATTGAAGCCGAAAGTATTTGGGTTGCTATTCGTTTGGCTTTGTATTGTGTTTACAGTACCGTAAGAAAATGCATCAATTTTGAAAACCCACATTCAGAAAGGATGAAGTAAGTTAATATTTCTTTTCTGTTTTCTTTTTCTTACTCACTATATTTTGGAAAATTACGTTCTTGCTTCAGCTTTAGCAAACTTCTGTTTTGTCCACTGAAAAAAAAAGTATCTGATTCTGTTTTGTCAGTTCTCTTCTTTGGAAGTCATTGTGAACTGGTCGGTTGATGATAGTTTGAGAGAATTCTAATAACGTTCCTCTACTTTTTTCTTGTGGGAAGCATGCAGTAATCTTTTGTTTTAGGACGAGTTTTACGGCACTTGCAACACGATAAGGTCATATTATATTTGCCGTAGATTAGAGGTGTTACAACAGAGTAACAAACACAAAAATAGAAGGAGGGAGATAAGGAAGATAGACGTTTGATAGGAAAGAAGGAGCAAACCACACCAGCGCACCCTCCAACCACCCACGCAATAATCATTTGTGCTGGTCTATTAGATTATACCATCAATTAAAAGTATAGAAAGTGGGCTGACTAAAGCAAGGGATTATTAATAAACGGATAAAAAAAAAAATTAAAGTTGAGGTCAAATTCTGCATCATGTATCATAAACACAAATAAATATACCGAACATTCATTAAAAGATACTAAGGGAGGATTTTTAGGTTTGTCTGGCGGTACATGTTTTGTCGTGACATGTGGCTTTGGCTATTGATTGTATCAATGGCACAGCGTGCGTCAGAATAGTTGGCAAATTGCTAGTTAGTTCATGATGCTGTTGGGTTTTCTGTCATGTAATCATCATCATCATCATCATCATCATCATCATCATCATCATCATCATCATCATATCCTACTGTTCATGTAACCCAAAATTGGGTCGAAAATAGATATAATTCAGATCCGAACACATAGCTGTCCATCCCCTATTTTTCAGGGGAGACACAGTGTCAGTATTCAGCGCTACGTTTGTTGCTGCCGAGACAACTCCTCTCGTGGCCGGCTACTGGCGTGTCACCGACATGGTTGGGGAAAACGAGAAAAGTGAGTATTGTTCGATTTGTTCTGTGGGCTGCTTTTCATTCTGATTCCTTTGATCTTTGGTTATGAAGGTCAACCCTACCTTTTTGACAGTCCTCTATCTGGATCGATAACAACAACAACGACAGTCCTCGATTACTTAAGATTATGGTTCCATTCTCTTAAGGTCCGTTTGGGATATGACAAGGCTGAGATCGTATCAATTGAGATGGAGCTCGGGATTTCCAAAAAAGCGATGTTCATGTGTTAGCCCTAAAGCAATACCGACGTCAAAGAACCCAGTGATGACAGCCTGAGGCTCTGAGAAGCTGTTTGACCATAACCTCAAACCTTGCCTTTACGTAATTTTTACCCCCCTCCCCAGGAATTTATGTTAGAAAGACTTCACAAAGGTCGTTCGGAAGAAAGAAACTCTGTTATTTTGGGTTCATCGGCAACAAACCCAAACGGAAAAACTTAGCCCCCCCCCCCCCACCGAAAGAATCCTACATTCGAAAATGACTTATTGGAAATTTTAACGACAAAGTTGATGGCACGCGTGCTTTGAAGTAAATTATGTCCAAGATCTCAGTCTGTACAGTGCTGGGATGTCTGGGTGGTTTCCAGACGTCTTCTATTTGAGTAAAGACGTGGTCTGTGTTGGAGTATGCTGTTGGGTCTAACTGTTGAAATTGTGAACCTTTCCAGGTTTCAAAGATATTTTGAAGATGGAAGAAAAAAATGTATTGCTTTATTTTTTCCAGATGGCATGGGCGCATATCTTTTCACTCGAAACTGTAATAGACGTGTGTGGAGAGCGCAAAACAAGGGCACATTGAGGGAATACTTCTTGTCTGCTGAGAAGATCATGTGGAATTATGGGCCAACTGGGGTGGATACTCGCGGTCTACATCTTCTGAAAGATCCCACATCGTGAGTACCTTTGTAACGGGTGCCCATTGGAACGATCAGTTCGATTGGGCTCGGTTTGGTTTGGTAGGAGATTTGGTAGGCTAGCCAGATTGAGGGCGCAAAGCGACCATGGTGGCACAAGCCGATCGCCCGACGCGTTGATGATTTCATGACTGGGTTTCTCGTGGTTGTAAGAACAAAAAAGGAAAGAAAGACGGGAGTTAGTTTCTCAAGAAAAAAACAAACAAAACATAATATTCCATCAATAGACTTAACCCCCTATTCTTACTAAAGGATTGACAACTGTCTTCTTGTGGCGTGGTTTAAACTTTCCAGACAACCTGTATTTGTGATTAAGAGCGTTTTGGAACTGGTTTCAGAGTGCGGGAAAGAATAGAGTTTTGTGCAACAAGCCTTTGACCGATTGCTCAAGGCATTGTATCACTTGTTTAAGAGCCCGGCATACAAGGAAAAACCACCACTCAGGACAAACAACACCGTTCTAGAAGCGTGAATACTTTTCATTTCAAAACGTAAAGATAAATTAAATATGGCTGATTTTTCGAAGCGACAAAGCTTATACTGACTGCATACTTTTGACTGTTTCTGAATTGTCATTTCTAGTGACACGGCCCTTTTATGACCGCTGTGAAAACTGCAGCCTGACAAAGGAACGTTATTGAGTTTGAAAAGTTAACGCACGAAATCTGGTTTATATTGTACGTGGTGTTGCGATTTTAGCTATAATATATCTTAACTAAATCCTCACGGCACGCTGATATGCATAAGGTGTGTACCGGAGATTGCCATTCGGCCATATTATGTCTTTTGCCAATTTCTCGAAGAGATTTCATTTCACATTGTCTACATATTTCGAGACTATGGGCTTCAAATTCACACACACACACACTTGAGAAAATAATAATCCTCTGGGGTTTCAGTGCTCAGGTTTTAGAGAATGAAAAGAAAGTTAATTCAGTTTATGATATCAGTTTAAAGTACTTACATCACGTCTTCAATCTCTACAATGCTTCTTTCTCAATTAAAACTTTATTCAAAGCACAACAGAAGCAGCTTGAGCAGTCTTATCTCTTTGTCCCACTACTCTTCTTACACATATTAAGAGAAACAAAGGATCAGTCTACTCATTCAGTAATCCAGCCCCACATACTCGTTTCATTGCTCTACTTTTCATAGTAGCCTTTGTTAAGTTGTGTGGTAGTCTTACCTGTTCAGACTGAAATAAAAACTGTAGACTTTCTGCCAGTTTGAAATGATATGAAATAGAACTTTTAAAAACATTAAAAAACCCAAACTTTTGTCTAATGTGATAATATATCAATACATTTCTCTGCTCATTTCAGAGTTTCCAACAAGTTCTTTGAGAACAGCTCCACTCGTATTGGGGGAGTCTACTACAAAGCTAAGTTCATAGCATACAACGATTCCAGCTTCACTGCAGTGATGACGTCAGAGGAGGACGAACACCTCGGCCTTCTGGGCCCTGTGCTGCGGGCGGAAGTTGGCGACACACTTCAAGTGACTGTGAAGAACAACATCTCCTCTACCATCTCACTGCTGCCACACGGCCTCCAGTACAGCCCATTCGAAGAAGTTGTTGGCGGTAAGATGGAAATTTGTATTCAACGAAACGATTGAAATCCAAACTAAGACAACGTCGGGACAAAAAAATACCCCCAACTAAACGAATAAATGAATGAATGAATGGATGAATGAATGAATGTTTCGAAAAATGTTTTAATAAATGTTTCAATAAAAGTTCCAATAAACGAATGAATAAATGAATAAATAAATAAATAAATGAATAATTAAATAAAACTAAACAAATAAATAAAGTAATATATATATAAATACAATAAAAGCAAATAGATAAATAGATATATGAATAAATATAAATAAATAAAGAGCTATTTTAAAATAAATCCCGACAAAAGGACGCATAATATACTGAAAGTCATCAACACGAAACGACACCTAAACGACAAGAATATCACTCCCTTTTTTTGTGATCTGTTTCGTGACGGTGTCGTTTCGTGTGTATGGATTTCCAGCTGTGAGAGGAATTGCTGTATTGATTGACCACATCTGCAATTGGCTCTCTTAATTTGATTCGATTATTATTGAATGAGCAAAATGTTGAACTGGTGCATTTACTGATCGATAGACGCCCAAGGCTCCTCTCAGCACCTTTTACATTTGAAAACGGGGGAAGGAAATAATCAAGGCTATTAGGGATCTTATATTATTAAGAGGCTGATAGTTGGCTATCATTGTGTTTGTGTTTGTGAAACTGCTTGATTGAAATCGCGCTTTTTTCTTGGGGGGAAGGGAGGGGGGAGAAGGAGTTAACTGTGAAGTTGACAGGCTAAAAAGTGCATTAATGTATCTTATTGATCGGCTGGAGAAATCAGAGATTGACGCAAAAACTGAAGACTTCAGCTTCAATGATTCCCAAGGTGAGATCAAGTGCTGATGCAAATTGCGAGGTAAAACTGGGTTCTTGCGTTATACAGAAGCCAAACAAGGAATGATTAAATCATTTATCATTGATCATGACACAAATAAAAAAATAAGTCATACCCACATTCTAATGAATCCACCAATCAAGCAAGCAAACACAGAGATATGTGTGGCTGATTAACCCTGTGCTTCTAACTTACTCTTCTCAGACCTAGATATGTGACCGATAAACCATTTTTGCTTTAGATATGCACATATTATGTACATGTAATTGTATGTGTGTCTCACGCTCCCCCCTCCACCTCACCCGATCGACAAGATCATTTAGAAGGCGGGCTGCTTCGACCCCGCCTGCCAGGGTCAACTTGGACTGAGAAGGGCACAACATCCCAACAGACAAGCGCAGATACCCAAAAGAACCACCCCCCCCCCCTCACGGCAATCGCTCTCATGTCTTCTCGTGCTAGGGCGAGGGGCCTAACTGCTACACCGCAGAGGCTAATTCTCCAACATAGATGTGTGACCAATCAGCCTTTAACTGCTTTTGATTTACTCTTCTCAGACATATTATTATATGTGTGACTGATAAAGCTTCTTCTTCCTCTTAGCTTTTCCGGTAGTTGAATGTTACTTATCGGACCTTCCTGCATTAAGACACTCCATCTCTTGCCATTCTGCCTACTGGAGTTGTTTTGGCTCCAAGCCAGTTTTCTATACACCCTGTTCCCATCTTTTGTTGCCTTCCACCTTTGCTTCTAGAAAATGTTTCTCAAGTGAACTATGACGTTTAACTGATTAATCAAGTGTTTCTTTATAATTCATTCTCCTCAGACATAGGGAGACCTGTAGGAGGTAGAATACTCCCCGGACATTATCACACGTACGTGTTCCAGGTGCCAGACGACCTGGTTGACAACACAACGGAGCCCTGTCGCAACTACCTCTACACCTCAGCATTTGACCCGCTGCGAGACCACAACACAGGGCTGGTTGGCCCCTTGCTAGTGTGCCGTAAGGGTTATCTGGCAAGCACGGCTGTAAGTTATTGTATGGTACATATTTAACGAAATATTCAAACTCTGCAAGTTTACTATTGTTGAAATTTATTGGGTTTGGAACGGCACAGTTTTAACATTCTTGCTTTCGACGGATTAAGGTTAAAGTTTGTCTACGGTCTCTTCTATAGAAATACTTTCGATTTTACTGAGGCGACTTTTATTAGAATAAAATACTCAACCAGTCTCTAAAAGAAAACCTCCCTCATCCTATTCCCTGCATGCATGTCTCATCTCTCATTGCCTTTCTCATCCTGCACCAGGGTATAGGCCACGGACAAACACCTTCCACCTTTCTCTATCATGGGCTAGCCTCTTGATGTTATTCCATGTCTTCCCACTTTTCTGTACATCGATTTCTGTGATTCTTCTCCAGGTTCCACGCGGTCTTCCCCTTGATCTCTTACCCTGTGGGTTCCAATCCAAAACTTTCTTTGTTATGAAGCTGCCTGATTTCCTGAGAGTATGTACAATCCATCGCCACCTCCTTCTTCCTACCTCATCTCTGACTGGGATCCGTCTTGTTTTTCTTAACACTTCCACATTGATGACCCTGTCTGTTCATCTGATCCTCAGTAACTTTCTTAGACACCTGTTCAAGAAAACCTGGAGCATCTTTATGCAAGTCTGTGATGCGTTCCATGTCTCACATCCATACAACAGGACCGACTTCACATTTGAATTAAAAATCATCAGCTTTGTTCGAAGTGAGATATCTCTGGTCTTCCAAATCCTATCCAAAGATATGAAAACAGCTTGTGCTTTTCCAATGCGGGACTTTATTTCAGCACCTGTTCCTCCTTCTCTGTCAATTATACTCCCAAGATAGCAGAAGGATTCAACGTTTTCTAGTGCCTTTTCTTCTATTGTGACCTGCTCCTTTCGTTGTGCATCTGTCCTTAGGACCTTTGACTTTCCGGGGTGGATCCTCAATCCAACAGACTTCGATAGGCTGTTTAATACTGGTCTTTGCTTGCATCTGTTCCTGGGTGTGCGACAGAAGTGCCAAGTCGTCTGCAAAATCCAGATCGTCCAACTGTGTCCATGGTGTCCACTGTATACCATTTCTGTGTCCTCTGGTTGTTTCCTTCATCTGCCAGTCGACTGCCAATATGAAGAGGAACGGTGATAGTAAACATCCCTGTCTCACACCAGTCTTGGTGTCAAAGCTGTCAGTGAGCTGGCCATCATGTGCAACCCTGCAACTTGTCCCTTCGTATATGCTCTTGAGGAGGTTCACCAACTTCTGTGGGATTCCGTGGTGTCTCATTATCTTCTACAGTGTTGCTCGGTCTATACTGTCAAAGGCCTTCTCATAGTCAAGGAAGTTGACGATCAGCTGGGAGTTATTCTCCAGGGACTGTTCCACAATAATCCTCAGCATGGCAATTTGGTCGATAGTTGAGCGATTTTTCCGGAAACCAGCCTGTTCTTCCCGTAGTCTTGGATCCGTTGCTGTCTTGATTCTCTCCAGAAGGATTCTGTTGAAGACCTAACCAGGTATTGAGAGAAGAGTGATCCCCTCCCTCTGTAGTTGCTGCAGTTGCTGAGATCCCCCTTTTTTGGAAGCTTCACGGGGTGTCCTTCATTCCAGATCCTGGTAAACAGTGGGAGGAGGATGTCTGCCGTCACATTGACATCTGCTTTTAGGGCTTCAGGTGGAATCTAATCAGGACCGTCGCTTTACCTTAGTTCAGCTTCTTAATGGCATCCAGAATCTCTTGTTTTGAAGGAGCATCACAGCAGATTGGAGACTCATTTTTTGCTGGCAGGATGTTT